ATCTGCAAACATGGTTTTGTGTTGTATATTGAGTTTAACTCAAATTTTCAATGTAAAATAAGAACATGTACAATGTATATTTATTGGAAAAATTATAAACATGGATAGTGAAATACCTTGCTGTATTATTATAGTACTGGGTTTTTGGTTAAACTTGATTGGTCTACTACTCTTCATTAGTATTTCTGCTTACATTGTATGACTGATGTACATGTATTTCTGTAGGTATCCAATGGTCCAGGTAGGAGGGTCCAGTTGTTTGATGCTGATGCAGAGCAGGACAATGAAGACCGTTGAACTATTTCTTATAAGTACTACATAGTGTTGCAATACTTTATTTCTATTTCTTGTACACTATCTTTGATTTATAATTCTAGTTCTTGTACCATGTATCTTATAACAAACCTTAGTTCTAGCTCTAAGTAAAACTGAATAGTTTTAGTAGCTGCATTTGCCCAATTACTTTTAGTTCCCCCAATTACTTTTAGTTATATTTTTAGTTCTAGTGTACCATGAGCCAAAAATTTATATTTCTAGTACATAACTAGACTACATGCATTATTGACATCAAAAAGTATGTTATTACTTATGCAGTCCAGTAACTTAGCCCACAACGTACCCAAATCTGCATTCTCCACCCATATCCCCACCTATTCTATTATTCGTGCAAGCTGCCAAGCTTGAGGCCAAGCTAGTTCTATAGTAGTCCCATTGTTTTAGTTCTACGTAGTCTCTAAGAGTACTAACTGTACTTTATATGCTGTACTATATCATATCTATGACTATATATATATACAAGAAAAACCGAGCGAAAACTACCTGCACTCACGTGGTTAGTGGTTACTGGTTATTAAAACAATGGCGTCGAAGTTGTATCATACTGGCATCCGTTTTAGTGCTCACAATTCATTCAGGATGCAAGTAATACTCTTCAGAATCACACTGTTACCAACCATTAACTTCTAGACTATTCAATCACTCAATAGGAATCTGAAAAGTACTGCATCACGTGAGATTCCATTAGCATTTTTAAGCCGGCACTATTTTGTGTTACTATTTTTAGATGCATTCTTTGTCAGAAGGATCAAAACTAATAATATACCAGCATACCTTGATTACAAAGGTATTGGAACAAGAACGTTGACAATAGTTAGAAAAATTGATGGATACACAGAGGTATGTGCATTCTAATTACTGAGAATTTTGTTCACACCTTTAGGCCACTCCAATAAGATTCATAGTTTCCCATTACAGAGGCGGGCCTGATGCGGGCGGGCGGGTTTGTTCATTTTCATTAAATTTATTCATTATCAGCTGTATAAATTGCTTGTATAATCAATGAAAAACCGCAATAATGAATAGCGATGCGGCCCCATGCGGGCGGGTAATGGGAAACAAGGAATCAAATTGGAGTGGCCTTATTACTATAAGAGGAAGGCTTGCATGCTCTCTAGAAGAAAATTTTAAACTTAAAGTTCAAAATTTGACCACAGAGCATGGGGCTATAGTACATGGTGTCAAGAGTAGATAATAATTAGAGGATAGCTATATGGTCTGTTGCATCAAGGCCTTGAAATGAGTATTCATTCACTCTGTGCTAATTTGCCAAAAAGCAATAGAAACAAGGGCAAGTAGGATTAAAATCTAAAATGAAATTCTACTCTTGTGACGCAAATTCTATTGTACATTGCATTTTTAATACTATCATAAAAATTTAATTTTGATCAGAATCAATTTAAAATTTCGACACTGCTTAGAAGAAGCATGTATCATGTACAAAT